CCCCAAAACCCCAAAACCCCAAAACCCCAAAACCCCAGCCTCTCTACCTTTCTTCTAATATCCACTGTAAACCTCAGCTCCAAGATCCTTCACTCTTATCCTCCTCTAAGCCAAGTCTTCGTGAGCAGCTTCTGTACAAACAGATTGGAAGAACAAGAGAATCCAGTTTTGGAGTTGGAGCTTACATTCCGTAGACTTATAGAAGATGCCTAATCTTAGCAACTCTTAATCTAATTAGTATTGTTTTATACTCTCTTGGCTGCCTAATACATTATCCATCTGGTTCTAGTAGTTTTCCAGTCACAAGTTTACTACTTACTCTTGCTATTAGAATTATTAATGACTATATATTTCTTCTCAGATATTAGAGCCTTGCTCTCATAGCTAAGGCCTGTAAGTACTCCAAAAGTGAGGGTGGGGATTTCTTATGTGCATTTGACATCATGAAAGGTATTAGTATGAACGTAACATATTTGTAATATGATCAATATGCTATGTTCAAATGGATACCTCTTTAGGTCTTCCTCAACATTCTCTCACAGTTAGATTGAGCAATAGCAGCGATTATTTTTGGTTTAGCTCTTCAAATTGTAATTTTATTACATTTTGAAACCTAAACTCCTCTAAATCTCAATTTCGAACACGTCTTATTCGTCTTAAATCAATAATGAGTGGTAATACTGAAAGGTAATGCAGAAATACAAATGAAATAAATCAAAATATTTGAAATTTCTTAATAATATGAACATTGATCTTGACTCTTTCTGTAAATGAGACATAAAAGGTAAGAGCAATACTAATCAAATTTCTTTTTCTTTGCTTTTAATGACACAACAAAGCTCTCAGACATTTTGTGGCTGACCTCTTGTGGAGATTGCTCTAATGATGTGGTAGCTCTTTTATGGAGTATAGAATGCATCCTAGCACTTAATCGGCTTCTAGTTTGCTTCTAATTATGCTTCTTTGGCTTGCTACATATTTAAAGTGAGTGAATAAATGAGAGAAATGCTCTATTTGTCTCATTAGTATCCCATGAATAATTATTTTATAAGTTTAAACTTGTAAATTGATGGCTAAACAATGCCCCTTACATTTCAGGATCTCCTAAATATTTTCGCAGAGCCTGGGATATTTGAATCCAGAGAAATATAGCCCTCATAATGACTTTTTCAATAGAATTTTTGAATATTTTGTAAAGTTGGTGTTTATGGTAGAAAGCCTCTTGTAGATGGTGAGGCAACACCATCATAAATATATTTTACTGACCTAGCTTCGAGCCAATGCAAGAACCCAATAATCTCAAGCCAATTAATTGAAGAGTTTCTTAGGGTACCAACTAGCCAAGAGTTGATCCGGCTGGGCAAATTTTGAAATAGTATGAGAAGTGAAAATTGTTTTAAGTCACTTGCATACGCTGAGAGTTGGAAGTCTTCAACTTCTAAGTGTTCTCTCTCAGTCAATTTTGTCGGAAAGTTGCTAAGACAAGCAGAAAGAGTAGAGAAAACTACAGGAAACATCACACTTTATTGAGAAAGTCCTCAGAGTGTGTATTTTAGAGAAATGCCTTTCAAGAAGGCTACAAATTTGATGCTTATCTGTTGCTATTTTTATTCATAGTTTGCTTTGGTAGCAAATTCACATATTTTGTACTCCAATGCCATAGAAAATGCAGTTAAATTGATAAATTATTTGTCTCTGACATCTCTGTTGTTAGAAATTTGTTCAAAATTGAGTTTTCTCATTTTCACCAGCATCATGAACAAGAAGAAATATCACTTATTTTAGCCAATCTGTTCAATGATTATCATTATTGAATTTCTTTAGTTAACAAACTCTCTAAAACTTGATCACAGAGCTCTACTTTGCAAGTAACCAACTTAATTATGCAAATGTACTAAAAATAACTAATCATAGTTTTGAAAATACCTAGAGTAGCTAGTTAAGCTATCTTTTCTCTGAAAATAGCGATCTACAGACATAAAATTACTCCTCCTGAGAGCAATAGTTGTGCTATAATCACTAATGAGGCCAGGTTTAGAATACAGCGTTGCATATCCATTAGTCCCTGTTTACTGAATTTGTCTCCCTTGTCTTCTAGCAATAGAGCGACTCTTAGTAGCTTGATGCAAAATTTTCATTAGTCTCGAAAAGTCTGATTTTGACAGTAAGCAAAGCTAACAATAATGAAATTGGATCTTAATGCACCATGTTTGAATGTAAGCCTAACTCTGGACTTGGTTATGCCTATCAATAAGCTTACATTAAGACTCTATATGGATGAGTATTGGACTTAGGGATATACCTTATGGCTTTACTCTGCTCATTTCTCTATCACCAGGTTCCCAAGAACTGCCTAGTTAATTTTAGAACTTTCATTTTCAGAGAGAAAACAACTATTTCTGCACCACCTTTAATGAGGCTCAGCTATTGTGGAATGTTTTGTGACAAAGTATCACAAAACTGTGATTTATTTTGACCTTTCACTTCACTGAAGTGGAATATTTTTGAAATTCCAGCGAAATTCATAAAACTGCACACTTCTTGAGGTGGTGGGAAAATCCCAAAATATGCTTCCAATATTATAAGATACGCTGGTCAAAGTGGTCGACTTGGTCCTTGATGGTCTTATATAATTCCCACCACAAGGACACCAGATGATTGACATTCCTCTTCATGAGCACCTCCAGCCTCCGAGATATTAGCATTGTTTTCAATTATGCAAATTCTGATGAAAGCAAAGATTTAGCTTTCGGGATGAGCTTTAACCAAGAATCATATAGACTAGTATAGCTTGATAGACATGCTAAAGCCTCCTATTTTAGGAAACTCAGCCATATTAGTTTGGGATAAATTCTTTAAGAAGTGAAGAGGAAATTTTATCCAAAATTTATTTTATTTACTTGGTAGAGTACCAAAAAATTGTGAAATCTGGATAGCCTTACAAAGCAAAATAAGCCATATTTAGGTTGAGGTCGTCTCAGAAGGGTCTGACTGTACAGGATCAATTTCTCATATGAGCCATAACTGGGTGTCTTTGCTCTCTTTTGTTATTTCTCACTAATTTCAAATTAGGTATCTCAGCTTTCCTTTAGAGCATGCTTGCATTTTAGATGCCCAAGCATTAGGACTCATTAGCGAAAGCTTTAGAGCCAGGAAAGAGTTTACTGTGAGCTCTAACAAATTCTTAAATCAAATTTTTTGATATTCTCATAAAATTTTAATGTTAGGAATAGCAAATATGCAAATCACTATATCTGGGATTTTAAATTGACGATTTTGCACCCTTAGTGGAGAACTTCAAAGGTCAAAACTCTGTGAACAGTCAGTCTCTTTGTATAATCCACTCTCCTTCATAGCCTCTTTCATAGATGATGGTTCTAAATTTCTTATATTTTCTGAAGTCTAATAATACCAACATTACGCCAAATAAAGAAATCTTAGTTTTTGAAATTTCTGATTCTCTGGGTTTATCCACCTCAGCTCTTTGCCTTAATTTTTATTCTACGATTCCAGTCAAATACTAGTTTGCTGAGCTCGAGAGAGCTTCCCAAAATATTGGGAGTTCTTTTAGCCTAGCTAGATTTATGAAGACCTAATCTCCCCACAAATGGTCAGCTTTAGAAGTCTCTAATTTGAAACAAGAGGCTTCATGGTCCTCCACAACGTATAACTCTCAATAGTGAGCCTGCATATCCTGTGTTTTGCATTCCTTGTACAAAACTTCTTGGTTGCGATTTCATGAAATATTTTTAGGCATGAATTCTGTTTCTGCTCCTCTGTGGTGTGCAGCCTCCTATCCTCATCAGCTCAATGAAAATATCGCATCAGAAAGAGATAAAGAGCCTAGATACCAACTCCCACCTCAGCAGCCAATAGAAGGTAAGCTTACTGTTGAAATGCAGGGCAGATATTGGAGGAGGAGTGTCAAATTATTAGGATTGCCAGCTTGAGCTCATGCTTATATCTTGCTTATAAATTTGAAAATAGTTTTAAACTTTCCGATTGACTCTGATGAACTTCATTGCAGAGAAATACAAAGTCATAATATCATCAATGCTTCAAGCTAGCCATTTTTAAAAATAACTTTGAGATCGGCAAAGTTAGGAGATCTCAAGTGCTAATTTATGCTCTGGCTTATTTATTCAGATCTACTTAGTTCCTTCTCTCATCGTTCTCTTCAAATGTATTGGCTATTGAAATCAAAGAATTCTCCAGTCCATCCAATGATGAAGAAGTCAAAGAGCCCAAAATCAAGAGAGGAAGAGATCGGCCAAGAAAGTACAATAAGCCTGAGTTTTATACAGGCAATATCAGGTTGGATGCTAACGACAAGAATCTCATCAGAGCAGTCAGAAGAGAGTTCATTGAAATGTTCAGAGCCTTCTGTGTTGACTCAGGGCTGTATAATTATGAGAACCTCAGCAAGGATCCACTACATCTACAGCAAATGAAGTTTGAAATGCCTGATAACAAATTCGAAGAGGCTATGCAGAGCTTCATCCCACACATTCTTGATCAGGGTCCATCTGAGGATGAGATCCTCAATACAGAAGAACTCCAGAGCTTCAAAGAGTTCTTCACAGTGTTCATCGGCTTCACAAGAGATTCTTCAGTGATGTTTCCAGGAACATACAGGCTATTAAAAGACTAACTTCAAAGTCTCTCCTATTCTTACTCCCACAGAAAGTTCGATAGGATCCTAGCGATTCCTGAGATGAGGTTTGTAATAGCCAGAGTTCTAAACCCTGAGTACATCGGTACCTTGATCTCGAAGAATCCAACCTTATGTGCAAACGAAGAACTCTACAGAAGATGTGCAGATACCATTCTTGAGAAAATAGACAAGCATGAAAGAGAGGACAAGCATGAACATGAAGAATAATATATTTCACAGTTTAATTCCTTCAAGTTTGAGTTCCCTTGCTTATCTGATCCAACAAGTCTCACTTTTTTGGCACTTCGGATTCTTCTGTCTTTCAGTATTTCAATTTCATTTGATCTTCTTGTGAAACTAGTTATGATTTGGAGCTATGGAGTCTTAATAGCTCCATCTGAAATGAGGCCAACTTTCAAGTGTTAAATCCGGCTGTGCCAGTGGTGAACTAAATTGAACTTAGTATGATTTAGCTCACCACAGTCTGAGTTGAAAGACCCTTCGAATACTTATGATTTGTAATGAAATCAAGAACCATAGGTATCGCCTTCATAATAATTTTCTGAGTTGTTTCCTTTCATAATTTCACCAAACAGTCAACTTTATTTTGTTGAAAATAGGTTAATTCCAGCTACCAAAGGAGTTCTGAGGCTTGCCTGCTTGTACTCCGGTAATAAAGCTTAGGGTCTCAGCATAGTGGTAAATTTTGGATAAATTATAGATTTATTTCATTCTTTATTCGATATTCCGGGGTTTTGGGGTTTTGGGGTTTTGGGG